TTGCCCCTCGCCGGCGCCTCTGCAGGGAGAGCGCAGCTCCGGGAACGGCGCCCCGCGGGAAGCGGCTGCTCGAGCGGCCGCGGAGGGAGGAGGACTCGCGGGGGCGTCCCCAGCCGCCGGTGCGGTGCGGTGCGGAGAAGGCGGCGAGGCCCCGCCGGCTCGCTTGCTCCTCGTGGCAGGTGCGCGCGCCAGCCAGGTAGGTGGTGCTTGCCTCGCAGGCTCCCCGGGAGAAGGAACCTTTCCGGGAAGGGCTGCTGCGCTGGAACCGTGCGCTGCACCCGAAGCAGAGGCTGGGCAGTGCTTGGCTCCACTCAGCGGGAAGGAGGCCTTTTGAGCGGAAAGCCTGCTCTGCGAGCTTGAGCCCCGGTGCCCACTGAATCAGGATCACACCAGATGGCTAAAAGCCGGAGAGCGAGTTGGGAAACGGCTGTGAAAGAACCGAGTAGGCTGAGGAGGGAAAGATGGCCTTTAAAATTCCTCATATCATATCCTTTTGCACATCCACATTTAAAGTAGTGTAGAATTAATATCACAAAAATAAACTCAGTTAAAATACTGATGCAGTTAACACTGCAAAAGTGTAGCAGAAAAGTGATGCCAGGCCAAAAACTGGCAGGTGAAAAGCTCCAAGTACCTTTTATGAAAAAGCAGCAACCTGTAAATCAGAGGTGGCAAAACCTTCAAGGTCACCTGGTCCAACCCGCTGCCCGTTCAGCTACAACGTTCCCGGTAGGCAGCCATCTGCCCCTGCCTAAAAGTCGAAGGGAACTGGAAAAAGTGCACAGAAGGGCAATAAAAAGGACTGGTTGGACCTTGGGCCTCGTCCAGCAGGGTGCTTGTTATGATACGTTCGTACACTCCGTCTTCCCAGGCAGGCAAGCTTCCTAAACGGGGTGGGGGCTGGGTCTGCCAGTGGCTTGCAGGGCCCCTTCACACAGAAGAGACCCTCGCGCTGCCAGGGTGCCTGGCCCAGGCAGAAAAGCCCTGCAGAAGACGGAAAGGCAGGCACCGGGGGGGGGGGGGGGGAA